CTAATTTGGCTTCGACTAGCAGCAGCTGCTGCACTTGTGTATGTGCTTCATGTCTTTATTCATTTCGTGTTCTCTCTTGGCTTCACTTTTTTTCACTTTTTTCTTACATTTTCTATATTCCCAACCCAGGCATGCACCAGCCACCAGTACAGCTTGCCACACTTTTTTTTTGCATTTTTTCACTTTTTTTGCACATCTCCAAATTCCATCGCATTTTGCGAAGCACTTTTTTTTCGCTTTTTTGCACAAAAATAATTCATTTGGGAAATCCTAGCCTGTGCCTGAATGCCCGACTTAAGCTTAAAGTCCAAAAGCCCCGGTCACCCAAACCCCACAGATTCAACACCCCAAGCCGCAGGCCTGAACGCCCAATCCCTGCACCCTGAACCCGAAGAATTTCGAGGCCAGGCACCACGTGAGATTTATCCTCGGCCCTTCACAGCGCTCTTTGGGTACCCGGTGTTGGAAGTGCTTCTGCGTCATGCCTGTTGAGTGCTGAGGCTTTAGATTCATGGCTCAGGGCTTTCAGGCCTTTGGTGCTCGGGGTGTTGGATTGGCTTAGGGCTGTAGAGTGTTGGATTCGAGCTACTTCGGCTTTCTGGGTTCAGGGCTGAACGATACAGTTCCGGGCTCAGCGCTACCCCCAGAATCCCTAACCCGAAAAACGAACAAGAAGAGCTGATTGCTTTGGGCTTCACCGGGTTCAGGAGTGGGGGGTAAGGTTCGAAGCAAGAAGCCCCGAAGTCCTCCCGCCCCCAAGCTCTGAACACTACACCGAATCGCCTCTCAATGTTCCACCACAAAGCCGACGTCACAAAAAGTCCTACCGGTCACCCCGTGTCTCAATCCCAAGCCTTGACACCATGGCGCCTGACAGCCTAGACTATCGAAAATTCTGAACCCTGAATCCGAAACTGGCCACATGCCTTCCATGGTCATCAGGTCGCCATTGCTTAACCTCGGTGGGCCGCGATTTCGTTGATTTCTTAATGTCGAACGACTAGCTGCTCCATGGCATGTGTGGGCAGGTCTCGCATCTAGAATTGGTGAAGGCTTCAGCTACGATTCAGGTGGTTTTTGGTTGGTACACGGTTAGGGTGACCAATATCGGTATTGCTGGCACTAGGAACCCCGCACCAAAGTACGAAGACCCTGTGCAAATTGCTGCAGCTACTCTCGTTAGACAAACGACAGTAGCACTAGTGAAATGTTGCTGCTGTTCGGTTCAACGTCCTCAATAGATTTGCTTCAATCCAGGCGTGGCAAATGGACCCTTGCGACACAACCACTTGACATACTAGTTTTTGAAGATCGGGAAGCTGCTTGAGCTCAAGCTCTTCGAGAAAAGCCATCCGCGCAAGCGGGAAATTCAATCCGATACCCCTTGATTGGTGACGTTTTACTCTGTTCACCGTTTTCATGCAACCAGAGGTGCGCCAACAGCAGATTCAACCGTCAACACTACAAAAGGAAGCTCGCCATGTCGGCTCTCGCTTCTCAATGCAGGTCTGGCAGCACGATCCTTTCCACACCCAGCTCATCGCCCTGGCATACTGCAAGTTACTGCGTTGGTAGTGATTGTAAATTCGCTTCTGCTGCTGTTACTGTTGCTGCAGCTCGCACTGGTGCTGCTGCTACTGCTGCTACGAGTACTACTTACCACGACTACTACGATGACGACGACGACGATGACGACGGCTACTACTGACGACTACGACGACAACGACGAAAACGACCACGACTACTACTGCATCTGCTACTATCATCGGGTATCACTACCACTGCCACTACCACACCCGAGACCACGACCAGACCACGAGCACTACCACAACCACTAGCACTACTACCACCACTGCTACTCCTGCTACTACAGCTACTTCCTCTCACATCATGGCATGCAACCACAAACACGACATTCCAGGACAAAGAACCTTACATCAATATCATCTTCACATCAACATCTTCACATCGTGCCATCCAGAAACCCTTCGCAATGCTGTCGTGAAGAATCTCAAATCTTAAGCCTTAGACGCCCTTAACCACCAAATCCGAAGCCCTAACATCCATAAGCTGGGAACCCGCAACCCCACAAGGAGCAATCCTTTCAACAGCTCCCCGGACGCGAACCCATCAAAACACCCCTTGGGTTTCAAAGGATTTATACCCTTTGGTTGGAACAGATCAACCATACACCTGAAACTCTGCATGCCTCTGGCCAGTTCCTGCGGAGCTCGAAGGTCCGGGATTGCCCAAAGGAGAGCGACACGATGCCTTGGAATGGGCTGCGGGAGATAACTCTTGTTTGGTACACGGCCATCGCACTCGAAGCCCATTCCCTTCACGAGCTCGTGTTTTCTCGTTGTACGACATTCTATGGCTTTGTCAGCATGGCAAACGTTTTGCAGGGCTAACGGCTAATGTTGGTCCTGCTGCTGAAACAAAGCCCGCAGCACTGGAGCCTTTGGGCGCAGGAAACGAACGCGCTGCAATCACAGGTAGTGGTTTGCCGGAGTCTGCTTTTTGCATTTCTGGGAGGTGTGGTAAACGCGAAAAGCTCAACGTCGAAAGCACGGCGAACCTCGGGTGGGTTGGCCGGGATACGGCCTGGGTCGGCTTGAAAGGCCCTAAACTCGTGAGCCATAATCAAAAACCCTGAGCCCTCAACCTTAAACTCGAAAGTCTGACTGTTGAAACCGCGGAAACTCGAAACCTGCACGTCGACTCTCTAAGACAAGATCGATGGTTCGGGATTTGGGTGGTTTCAGGGTTGAGGATTGACACTGCAGCATCTGGGCGCGGCTTGGGTTCGGCTTGGACTATGCGGGTAACTCATACGGACTATGAGGTTTGTCGGGTTTTGAGCTTGGTGTTGAAATCTGAAATTCTGCTACCTCCAATAAGGGAGCCTCATGCGGCGGGCCTTTGTAACTAAACTTCTCCCAGGTCGCGGATATCCTGGTGCTTCCCTTGGAAGAGAGACTCGTCGTCTGCGTGCCAGCCGACCGAAGCTCCACCATCCTTTCGAACATAAGGGTTGAGGAGGGTTTTCAGCATCTCTCGGAGCCAGGAAAAAACAGCAGTGGGCGGTGGTCTACACATTCCAAAGCCCTAGCCCTAGCGGCGCGATTGCGACGTCAGACATGTCGAACATTTGCTGTCACTAGCAGAACGTCCTTGGATAGGTAAATTGAGGTACGCGCCTTCAGGTCTCGGGTTAAAGGACTGCACGGTTTAGGATCAAGCGCCGAAACGATATTCCGCTGCCATTCACGTAAGCTAACACCGCAACCCTGACTTACTTCATCACCCCACGCTTGAACGCACAAGCGACAGAAACACATGCCGCAAAACTCCAAGTCTCAACAAATCTACAGCACCCGAAATCTCTAAGTACCCTACAGGACCCTGAATTTTGTCTGGTGCGAAAGATGTACGGTGCGCGGTTTCTGCGGGTTTTACAGGCTTGTCTTCATCCTAAGCCTTCAGCTTCTCAATCTGAACTTTACGCCGGAAACTTACGCCAAAATCTGGATATCCCAGACCCCTAATTGCACTGCAATCCCTGAACCCTGAACATGCCAAAAACGCCAGACATCGCTAGACCCTGAAGTTCCACCTCGTAGTAGTTGAGATTGCAGGAGTCAGGCCAGTCTCTTTCGTTGGTAATGCCGCAGTAGTTCCTCATGTGGGCAGTCTGCGCAGTCGCGAGCTTTCTCGGTCGCTGGCTTACCCGAACGTTGTGTCTGGAACTGCTGTCTTGTCGGAATCTAGGGACTTCGTCTTTCGGGATGCTGGATTTTATATTCCAGGAATGTGCTGTCCGGGGTTTGGGTTCGGCGCTTTTCGGTTGCGCTTTAGGGTTCTACCGTTATGGCTTGATTATTTGTTCATGGGTTCCTTTCCTCGCAGCCTTGGAGGGCTTCATGAACTCATAACTACCAGAAGCAGAGTAGCAACAACTACACTAGCCATTAAAACAAGAAAACATGGTGCGGACTCAGGTCTCGTGTCAGGCAAAGCCTCGAGCCCTCATGACGAAGCTCAGGTTTGCAATACTAAGCTTATAAGCACGGCCAGATCCTCGAGGCACTGACAGGCACCAAAATACACAAGCCTCGTGTACCTCACCGATTAAGCTTAGCCTTAAGCTCCCCCCAACCCTAAACCCCCAACCCTAAACCCCAAACCCTACACCCTCTGAACACTGAGCACTCCCGGGCACATAGAAGCTCGTAGGAGCTCAATCATGAACCTGGGCACGACCCAGAGGTGTTAGGTTATATTATGGTATGTTGTAGTATATGATAGTATATGATAGTACATGAGCGTCTATGAGAGTAAATGATAACAGATTATAGTATACTATAGTATATGGGTTTAGGTCTGTCTCGGGCTGCAAGGGATTGAAATTCTGGGTTTGAGGCCTGACTGCTCAAGGTCACCCCTGGGCCTAGTAGAGTCTAGGCTGCGCTGTGTAGACTGCGGAGGATAGCGTGCAAGAGCACACTTCCGAGACCCTCGCGGCTTTCATGAACTCAAGCGCAACCTAAAGGCTCAGGTGCCAAATACAGCTAAACCAAGACTCTGGAAGAATCATTGCAAAACCCTAAACTTAAACCCTGAAACCATGAAGCCCTAAATCTACACCCGAAAACAAAATAACGTAAGACCCAACAACGGGAATCCGAAAATCCTAAAACCGACCAAGCCGCGGAGGAAACTCCTGGGCTTCGACCTCGATGCCTCCGTAGCGGTAGGTGCACTTGCAGCCTCTCCATGGAGATCTCGGATTTAAGGCTTGCAGTTTAGGGTCTAGGCTTTAGGGCCTTTAGGTGTAGCAGTTGAGGATTTAAGGTTTACAATTGAGGGTTGAGGGTTTAAGGCTCAGACTGGCTGCAGGCGGTTTCGGGCCGAAGGTTGGCAAGTGGCTTTACGGTCTATGCCTCAGGTTGTGAAGTTGCTTCCTGTGTAAGGAGGACTTTCACATTTGAGGGCTGTCCTCGAGACCTGTTCCGCGTCAGGTGCCTGGTTGTTGAACGAACCATGCCCTCAGGTGCCGAACAACAAATGGTTTGGATTCTGACTCCGGGTATCCTGGGCTAAAGTTGGGCATAGGCTCCAGCGGCTTTAGGAACCTTGGGGCTTCAGGGCATAAGGCCTGAGGGAGTTTGAGCGGGTAGGGAACCTAGGGTTTAGGGTTGAATACTGCTGTTCGCTTGGAGGTTGGAGCTTCAGTCGGAGAGGGTGAGGTGGCACTTATTGGCTGAATGACAAACGATGATAAGCAGGGGAATCCACGGCTGGGTCGGCAGAGTTAGGGCCCGATTCCGAATGGTCAGAGAAAAGTTGATTGCAAGGGGGGCGAACCTCCCCGAAAGCTCTCAGACGACATCTTCTTCGGCTGAACCAGAGATCCTCTAACCGGGGTCCGGCCTTTCTTCGTCATCCAAGCCTCAGAAAAAAGTTGCGGCTTAGAAAAGGGATTTTGGCCCTCTACTCATGTGCATTCTTGTCGTGACGCCTCCCGGGCCCACGGGGGCTCCGGGCTTTACTTTTGGAGCCTCGAGCCATGGGAAAACTGGTTGTGCCAAGCCATCCAACGGACTGAACTGTCGCACTGACACACATGTTTCAGCAACTTTCGGGAAAACCGTCTGAAGGCACATACTCTAGATTACAAGTGCTGTCGGTGTTTTTTTGGAAGGAGATGCCTAGAACAAAGTCTATCTCCAAGGACATCCTGCTTTACAGCCACCTGTGCATCACTTGCTAACCCTACTCCCCGAAGCCCACAAATCGGAATCTTCTCATGCCAGGCTGCCGTCTGTCGAGGGACCAGCTTTCCGAAAACATTCTCGGGTTGCTTCCACTCGGTTCCCTCCTGCCGAGTTTCAGAGCTCAGCTGCAAGGGATCAAGGGTCGCAGTCTCTAACACAGTGATTGTTCAATAAGACACAACATCGTATCTTCTCCTGGGAAAAGACACTAGTACTTCCGTCCTTTTCTTCTCAACACAACTGATGTTCTTAATAGCTACGCTTTTGTCTGTTGAGGTACACGAGCTTGCATGGATCGAGAGAATGGCAATTGCCGCAATAAAACTTGTTTCTCCGAGAATGAAATACTAGAACTCATCTATCTCTTGACACAAAGGAGGCTTGAGAAGGAAGCTAGGGAGGCGCTTGTAAATGAGAAGGCGAGATTCTGAGAACTCCTGCGCTTGTCAATCAGAAGCACAAGAACCCTTGTGCCTTTACTGAGAAACCACTATGTCTTTTTCAAGCACTTATCGGGGTCGTGTGTTCTTCAACAAGGGCAACGACCGTCCTTGTTACTTTCTCGAAGAAGTATGAAGACGCTCCTTCATCCCTTAACAGGAGGTACAGCGAGCTCCTCTACCTTGTGACAAGCATCTCTTGAGAAGACATAAAAAGTGATTCCATTAGCTCCAACAATCACCAAGTGAAAGGGCTCTGGTTAACTCTATGCGGGAAACCAGGGACCTCCTCGATTTCTTCCTCAGAATCAAGAAGTTTTTTCTGTTTTCTTAGCGACAGACGAAGAACTCCAGACCCTCATCCTAAACCGTAAGTGTTAAAAGCGCTCTGCGGTCTCACCATCATCTCACCATCAGACATGCAGAAGCCCTCGCGCCTTACACCCCATTTGTTCTGGCTTAGCTTCTCGTATCTTAGGCTGAACCTGAAATTGAAGCCGAAGTCCTAAACCTGTTGCACGGTTGCGACGCCCTGCACCCAAAACACCACATCCTCCACCCGACATCCACATGCATGGCTGGCAAACCATCTGGTCAACAGAATATGGTAACCACTGTTCCCACTGCTATTAAGACCGTTTTGAGGAACAGAAGATATTCCTACTAATTTCGACTGTGCTGTCATGATTCTTGCTCCTGCTCAGCTCGTCGGAACGAATCGTATCTCTACTTCTGATTCGTCTAGCCTTAGCTTCGCATCGCAAGCCCAAGCCAGGCAATGTGGCAGTTTGGTATAGTATTCAGAATGAGCTCCCGTCCTTCACTCTTTGGAAGAAGCTCGCACATTGAGCTTCATCAAAGGGGCACCTAGTCAGCCACATGAAGGGACTTGCTAGACTGTTTGTGGATTGATGCTTGAGGTTTGATGTCGGCTTTATGCTCGTTCCGGCTTGGAAATTCTGACAAAGCTTGCGTTAAACAATGTGCGTCGACATGTCAACTCTGTTGATGTGGTTGCCTAAACCCGAAACTCAAAGCCGTGCACAAGATCCCAAGGCGCTGAAGCCCTGAGCCCCTTTCGAGGTCAGGTACTCGGACTAGAGGCTTGAGGTCATGGAGTTGAGAGTCCCGAAATCCCAAACGCTAAGTCTTGTGCGGCTCCCGGCCTTACTTCATGGCCTAGGGTTTTGCGTGCATCGTGACAGCTCGCAGAGCACGAAAGCCGCAAACACTGGCCCCAAACTCAAACCCAGACCTGCGGCCGAGTGACTGCAGGAAGGCTGCAAAGGAGCGACGTGATTCATCCAGGAGGATGTACTCCCATTCTGACCAAGTTAGGGCTTGGGGGCCTGAGAAATTCTAGGTTCAGGGTTGGCTGTATCGAGGTTAGTCAGCTCATTTGATGGGAGGGGCCGGCTTGGCCCCCCGTGCCCCCTGCAGGCGCCTTTCGCCCAAACATTGCAAAGAAAAGACCCAACTTCACCAATAACAGAATGCTTGCACTGGGCATTGAATATGCTGCTCAACGTTCCTGTTTATCTTCTGTGTTGAATTCAAAGGAGCTTAAGCTTTAATCTTGCCAAGTGCTCGCGAATGATCTGGACTACCAAACCGCTCCCCTGAAAGCCAGCAAGCCTCGGAAAGCCAGATACCAAAGAGACCACCAGCCAGATCTAGGGCTTGGCAAAGGTCGTTGCCCGAATAGCTTCGGCTTTCACTTAGGGCTCCCAACCTGCATCTTCCGGCGCGATCTCACCAATCAGCTGGAGCCCTGTCTCCTGAGAACAAGGTGCAGCGTCGGCTAGATTGGCTTTAATAAGAGTTGCTAGTTTTCATGTTCAAGCGCCCCGTCGTGTAAACTCCTCTTCAAGCAAGTGCCTGGAAAGTCTCCTGGGTCCAGAATGAAAAGCCATCCACCTGATATGGTTCAGGGCTGAGGGTGGAAACTCGCTCTCACATTCCCCTGGTGGAATTGAAAATAGTGGGTAGCCAAATGTAGCCAATCTATGAGCCGTGCCGCAGATCCTTGGCCTCATGAGCCGCATGACTGCCAGACCCAAACCCTCGGCCTCAAGCCCACCCAAACAACATGTCAGTGTACTCTTGGGGCAGTTCCATATAGAACCTGACACACCCTACAAAAGCTTTGAACCCTGAAGAACCGCTTACTTTCTGAAAAAATATCTGCCAACAGTTCTCCTCTCGAGGCTGCTCCCACATGTCGCCACATCGCTCTGGTGAGTCATCCTGGGACCGCCGGGGGGCTTGGCGCATCGGGGAGAGCATTGTGATCCACAAATGAAGCCTCTTCTTCGGCTACCGCTAATGCTACTGCTGATCTTCCTGCTTAGTTCCTGCTTCTACGACGACGCACCTGCTGCGACTGCCCAGGAAGTAGGATTTTACGTTTTTTTCCGAGGGATGATGCTGTAGCCACTGTAGCCTGGCCTCCTGCCACTCCCAGCGACCATTCGCGCCGCCTTCGCGCAGTTGCTGGGCGAAGAGGTTTGGGCACAACACAAGGGTATTTGGAGCCTCGAAATGGTTTTAAAGGGCAGGGATGGTTTCGGGAGGATTCGTCCAATGTGTTTTTGGCTATTAGGGCGGTGTTTCATTGACGGGGGAAGCGATTACTTCAAACTCAAAACCAGGCACTCACACTTCAACGTTTCTGCCCGAGGTTAATTCCCGTAAGCCTCGCCTCCTTATAAGCCTTGGTGCTAATCCTAGAGCACAGTAAGAGCAGAAGCAAGAGCAGGAGGTAGAGCAAGAGCAAAAGCAAAAGTGGGAGCATCAGCAAGAGCAGCAGCAAGAGCAGCAGCACGAGCAGCAGCAAGAGCAAAGCAAAAGCAAAAGCGGGAGAGTAAGAGCAAGAGCCGGGACAAACGCGGGAGCAACAGCAAAAGCAGCAAGAGACGCAGCAGAAGCAGGAGCAAAAGCCAGCGCGGGAGCAAGAGCCAGAGCAGGAGCAAGAAAACGAGCCCTCAAAAGCGGCAGTAGAAATAAAAAGAACTCCCAACAATAAAAATACGTTCCGTTTCTATGGGGGGGGGGCCGTTTAGGGGGAAGGGCTTATTGGAGCAATCTCGCGATCATGGTGGGCAGGTTTTCTGCACTCTCTGCACCGTGCACTGTGCACCTCCCGACACCCCACCACCGCCACCCCTGACTGAGGCTTCCACAACGGCCCAAAAAATAGCCAAATTCCCTGCAAACCACATAAATGCGACAGAAAAGCCTGCAGACCTAAAGTCCCGAATCCGGAACAACCCAAACCCGCCAAGCAACATACACAACATACACATTTTCTCGTGTGCACTTGATGGACTAGTCCTCGCTCGAGGTGTATCGACACCTCCAACACTTGTTCGGACTCAGCAGTCAACACCCCTACACCCCACACCTAAACCCCAAACCGCCACGACCCAAAGCCCTACACGCTAAACTTGCCCTAAACCCTAAAACCCTAGCCCCAAACCCGCGACCCCAACACCCCCCCACAACAATCTACGCTAGCGGCTTGAATCAGCAACTTCTTTCCAAAATTGGAGCCTTTTCCTTTCTCCTTCGCATCGCTCCAGCGCCTTGTGCCCGAGCCGGCTCCGTCCTCGCGCGCTTTGGTGGTTTTCTGCGGGGTTTAGGGTGCAAAGCTTTAGGGCTAGGAGGGGCCCGCGCGGGTTGCAAAGGCTCGCTTATAGGATGTTATACGCCCTTGCTTGGCTTTACAACGCCCCATAACGCTTAGTGAAAGGGCTTAAAGGTGTGGGCACACGAGAAAATTGTGAAGGAGACCAACACAAAGGTAATTGTACCACTATTGTGTGAAGCCCCTATAAGATCTTCAAAGAAGGATGCGAGACACAAGGCTTGCGGTTCGGCGCGCAACATTCTGGGCTTCTACGCCTGAGATTCTCGGGTTTACAAGTGGCGGACTTTCCACTGTAGTGCTTAACCCAGGCTTTACTCAGACTCGGTTTTGGGGAGGGCAGCAAACGATGCTATGTCGGGCGTTGCTCTGGCTTGGGGTGAGAAGAGCCCGGCAAGCATGTCATAGGTGGTGGCTCACGGAATACCTAGACCCGAGAAGTTTGAAGCCGTAACAAGTTGCACTTCTTTAGTAACGCCTGGGAGAACCCTGCTGTAACCTGTGATGTCACACTCTCTTCACAAGTACATGCACAAAGTCTAAACATGCGTCGAAGTTTGTCTTGCAGCCGCCGTAATAGGGA